ATGGATTATTTTTAAATTTTTTTATATAAAATATTAAAATTTTAAATATATTTTTTATTTTTTTCTGGTTGATCAATGAAATCTTGAACCCGGTCCCTTAGCGGGGTTAACCCCTATAACGGATTTGATAACTATAGTTATGAGAATGTTGTGTTTAATAAAAATTTTATTTTTCTTGTTTTAATTTACATTTTTTATATATATTTACATTATTTTGATGTATTAATATCAAAAATAAATATAAAAATAATATTTTAATATATTTTTAAATAAAAAATATTTTCACATCTCCAATTCACGGTAAGAAGTGCCCTTTCCTCGCAATAAGGGCCGATGTGCTTGAAATTATTGTTGAGGTGCTAATATGACTACCAAACGTGTGCGGAGGACTACATAAAAGAGTTAAACCTCATGAACTGAGAGACAAGAGACCTACCCCCTCAGTGCTGTTGTCTCTTTGGAAAATAAATAAGAACGGGAGTCTAAAACCCTCTCTGTGTTTTGACCCACCGAAAAGCAACTTCCTTCTTCTCTACGACAGAAAATGGCAATCTGTTTTCTTTCTCCTTTGAAACCCATAACCCCAACAACTTCCTTGACAACAAGCCTTAATCCTAAAAAACCAAACATCCTTCGCTGTAACTTTGCTCTGCCAATCATCACAACCACCGAACCTGAACCCGTTTTCACCTCCGTTAGATCCTTCGCACCTGCCACCGTCGCCAATCTTGGCCCTGGCTTCGATTTCCTCGGATGCGCCGTTGATGGCCTCGGCGACTTCGTCTCTCTCCGTGTCGACCCCTCGGTCCACCCCGGCGAGCTCTCCATCTCCGATATTTCAGGCACAAAAAGTCTCTCCAAAAACCCTCTCAACAACTGTGCTGGCATCGCCGCCATTGCAACCATGAAGATGCTCAACATTCGCTCTGTGGGTCTCTCTCTTTCCCTTGAAAAGGGCCTTCCTTTAGGATCCGGACTCGGATCCAGCGCTGCCAGTGCTGCTGCGGCTGCTGTGGCGGTGAATGAGCTGTTTGGAAGGAAATTGGAGGTGAAAGATCTGGTATTGGCTGGATTGGAATCTGAAGCTAAAGTTTCAGGTTACCATGCTGATAATATAGCACCAGCAATAATGGGTGGTTTTGTTTTGATTAGAAGTTATGATCCATTAGAGTTAATGAGTTTACAATTCCCCGTTGAAAAGGACTTGATCTTTGTGCTTGTTAGTCCTGATTTTGAAGCCCCAACTAAGAAAATGAGGGCTGCATTGCCTGCTGAAGTAGGGATGTCACACCACGTGTGGAATTGTAGTCAAGCTGGGGCTTTAGTGGCTTCAGTGCTGCAAGGGAATTTGGTGGGGTTAGGGAAGGCACTGTCAAGTGACAAAATTGTGGAGCCTAGAAGGGCTCCTCTGATTCCTGGTATGGAAGGGGTTAAGAAGGCGGCTCTGGAGGCAGGGGCTTTTGGATGTACCATTAGTGGGGCAGGACCGACAGCGGTGGCAGTGGTGGATAGTGAGGATAGAGGGGTGGAAGTTGGGGAGAGAATGGCGGAGGCTTTTTGGAAAGAAGGGAAATTGAAGGCTGTCGCTATGGTTAAGAGGCTGGATAGAGTTGGTGCTAGACTAGTTGGTAGTGTTCCTAGATGATGCTGGTTTTGATCTGGTGTGAGATAATAAGTTCAAACAGCAGTAAATACCCAGTCACCAGGCCAAAAAGTAGAGGGGACAGCTTTTTTGGTTTTGTTTTGCTTCAGTGTTAAACTGTTATTGAATGCAGCTGCTTTAATGAATAAACCTCACATGTTTTTGCTCTCTTCTATGTCAAATGCAATTGTGGGTTCTCGTCTGTCATTGATAATCTTGTTAGAATTTGTTCATACCAACATTCCTTAATTTGTGTGCTTGTGTGGTCGTATATTTTCGCTTTTAAACTAGTTCATAAGATATTGCTTTGGGGAAATCACTTTGGTTGAAACCTCACAATGGATCTCCATTAAACAGCAGATGGTATTAAATGCCATGGTACTGTCTATTTAAGCCCCACGCATAAGAAGACCCTACTCGACTCTTCCAACTCGTAAACAAATAAATCCCTTCTATTTCTCATAGCCTTGGTTGTACAAGGAAGATGTTCAATATTGTATTTTTTTTTTTGTTTTTTTTTATTTACGTGAAGTGTCCGGGCCAGCTTGCGCGCACTACGACTAATCCCCACAGCCCACTAAATACCCTGCAAACCCAGTAGGTATGTAAGGCACCACGGGGGTGACAAGCGTGCACGTCTGGGTCGAAACAAATAAATCCCTTCTATTTCTCATACCTCATTGATCATCCCACTCTTTATCTTACATGACGAAGAGTATGAAAAAAAAATGTCAACACGCGAGGAGGAAAGAACCTTGAGAGTCTTGTAAAATAAAATCATAACAAAAGGGAGAGGGGAAAGGATGGTGTCCTTATTCTACAAAAATATAAACTTAACAAATAAAGCGACAGTCAAAACTTTTTCTATCCATAGGTGCTTGGATTCAGTTTTCTTTGGCAGCTGCAACCTGCTTTGCACCAACAGCGAAAAACTCCGATATCACTTCCAGAGGCATGCCCTTGGTCTCCGGAACTTTCAAGTAGACGAACACAAATGATATGATGCAGACGACTGCATACAAACCAAAAACACCAGCAAGGCCAACAGATTTGAGCATCACTGGGAGTGTATACGTCACAATGATGTCGCAAATCCAGAATGTAAGGGCGCATATGGCTATGCAAAGGCCACGAACACGGGTAGGGAAGATCTCCGCACAAAGTATGTTAGGAATTGGCCCAAAACCCATGACGAAGAAACAGAAGTAGAGCACAACACTAACAGTTGAGATTGATGCATTTACAACACTGCCCAAATCCACCATGCTTCCCAGGACTAACAAAATGAGTGATACGATCAACACAGGGATAGTTGTGAGCAGCAAAGTCCTGCACAACACAACAGCAGTGAAGACAGTAAACAAGGGTAACAACACAGCAGTATTGCTTTTCTTTTCTTTGTCTTTAAATTCCATTAGTATTTTACAATTTTTTTCATCTAGAAGATACATGACATCGAGTCCAGACGATTAGACCTTGCATTCCCCCCCTAGTTCATTAGGCCCTAAACATTAACCGATGAGAAGATTACAAATTATTGGATCAAGAAATGATTGCTTTTTGGGCTTAGCCTTGGACGCATCATTGCGCATCAGTAATCCTCATCACAAGAAAAATTTTGTGGATTTAAAGAATATATGCTGCAATTGCATAGGAAATAGTCAAGGAAAAGAAGAAATGGAAGTACCTTCTCCCGGAGATATCCATGAGCCTCATGGCAACAGCTATACAGGGGAGCATCAACAAGGTTGTAAGGGCGCTGATAAGCAGAGATGTAGAAGCTGAACCAAGGCCCAGGTGTGAGAGAAGAACTCCAACTCCTGCCTGCTCAAGAATTTGAGGAGTATAGTAGAGAACCCCATTTATGCCAGCAAACTGCATAGGCACCCAAATTCAGAAGCCAACTTATGCAAAAGTGACATAGGCACCCAAATTCAGAAGCCAACTTGTGCAAAAGTGAAAAAAAAAAAAACCTTAAAGTAGTATAATGTCTCCATTAACAAATTCACTATGCTTCAATCTTGAAGGCATAGCTGTCAAAGGAAAAGGAAGAAAATGATGATTTGAGATTGAGATATCCATTGGTTTAAAACCATCCCTGCTATTAAAGTTTAGAAAATCTCCATCTTGAAGAAAAGAGAACAAATTCCAAGATCAGTTTACTACCATTGTACCAACAGGGTAGCAGTGAATTAACTTCACAACAAAAAACCAAGATCAGTAATTGTTACCTGCTGAAGTATTTGAAGTCCCACCCCAACAGCTAAGGCATGCTTGACACCTGGTTCAAAAAGATCTCTCCAGCTTGGTCCTTTAGCCACAGTTTCCGATGGGTGGACCATAGCTGGTCCAACTGGATGCTGATTCAAAAGCTCCTTGGGATAAAGAGCTGGTTGGCTCACCAAAGCAGCAGCCTGGACGTAATCAGCGTCTGGATGGCCATCAGTACCACTCAGAGAAACCAGAGATCCACGCCGAGAACCAGGGGCACCCCCTTGATGCAAATAAATTCTTTTAAAGCCTCCCTTTCCATCTTGGTCTTCTCTCTCGGACCATTTCCATGCAAGCTGCCAACCACCACCAATCCCTGTGCTACCACCTGGCTCTCCATCATTTCCAGGAATCAGACTCCCGTGTCTCGTGTTTGTCATGCTTCCATGAACTGGTGGGACCATGTCCTTATCCATGCTTGTTGTCTGGCGAGAGATCAATGGACTCTGCAAATTGTCATCAGAATCACCGGCATCACCATCAGATGCATAATCCTCGCCTTCTCTGGCGTGGCTCTCCACATCCCAATCTTCATTTCTAGGTTGATTCTCTCCCACATTGAACATGCTGCCAAAGTGCGGAAAAAGCATGCTTCTCGTGCTTCCTTGTTCAGGGAGCTTCTCGTGGACGCTACCAAAGAGGGTCACAAGAGGATCCATGAGAGGTACATTCTGGTTTGCCATGCTTCCACGCCTAGATGCAAGACCAATAGTACTCTGCCCACTGACAGGTCTGGCAACCCAACTGACACCTTGTTCAGATCCATATAACTTGATCTGATCCTTGTCAGCGGATATATCATGGTCATCAGTGAAATCATTGGCTGGGCCAATTATGTACTCCTCTATTGATGTGTCAGCCCCAAGTCCAAGTCCCTCAACCAGTAAAGCCAGCTCACCTGTTCGTTCAAACAAGATTATTACCATGAATAGGATATTTGCGTCACTACCAAATTGTGAGAATAAACATCCTAAAATGAAGTGGTGAGTGATTTTATTGTGAGAATAAACATCCTAAAATGAAGTAGTGAACACCATTTCCCCCGAACATGAGAGAATACTCAACCTTCAATGTAGAAAAAGTAGATAAGTAAGAGGAAACACTGCAACATTAGCACCATATAAGCAACAAAGAGAAAAATAAATAAGAAATAAATAGACTCCAGTCACCAATCATCTATTGAGTTGTTGTAAATTCAAACACATCGGTTCTCCCCTTTATAAATGCTAAAAGAAAGAGAAACGTAATGCTTTGACTTATATTCTGATAGAAGAAAATACATGGCATGTGGAGTCGCTTAGCAAGGTTTAAGAGGACGTGAAAATGCAAGAGAGAGGAAGAGTCAATGAAGAAGAGATTGAAAGAGAATTCCCGCACCACATGTGGTAGAGACAGTTAAGTTTGGACCATCCAGTATTTTGTAAGGCAAACAACATTAGAGGAAGCATGCTGCAATTATGAACCGTAGGAGCTATAACTAACATACGATTAGCTATGAAAGAATATGGAGCTACAGAATTCTACATAAAGCAGCAGCTACAATATGGCATAATTACAGGTATGTTGTCCATGAAGTCAAAATGGTGTTCTCTTAAAACTGAATACATTATATTTGATGGCAATGATTTTGTAAAGCAAACACAGAAGAGAAAGAACAGAACAGATTACAGCCAAGCAGATTTCTACAAACTTCCCCAAAATGACTATCATAGGCAATGCTCTATGATATGTTTAATAGGCACACTATTGCAATTGGTCAGTAGAAGAACAAAAGCATAAATCACCCTCTAAAGGTAAAAAATTTACTCTGTCTACTGAAATCTTGCTGCCATTTTCCAAATTTTTGTACAAACAACGAAATCAAACAAGAACCTCTGAATCATGATCCTTCTTGCAATTTATGATATGATATGATTTTTATTTTATTAATACTATCCATTATCTAGTTAATGGGGACTAGAATAAGTTCCATTATATTGCAAGGAGTAGAATAGGAAGTGAGCCGAAGCAAAAATAAACCGAAAAATCATTTGAAAATAATTTGTTAACGCGTTGTGTCTGGTAATAGTCTAACAACTCAGCGTCAGTGAAAGCAAAACAAATGAAGGCCAAACTGTCAGAGAATGATGATCCAAATACAGAAATGGATTGTTTTCCAGCTTTATATATAGCTAAGCCAAAGGATACAAAGAATGGTTGGTTCAACAGGAAGCATAGCACATGAAAGAAGGAAGCTCTTAAATTTCAGTCCTAAAATCACCACACATTGAACAGCGAACTTTCATTTTATAACTGATAAAGAATCTACGCGTGCAAATTTTCATAAACAAAATTCCAACAAATTTTTTATTTTGCTGGGACACATTTCTGCATCCACTAAATTCCCAAAACTATACTTTTTCCCTGCAGAAAGCATTTACCTTATGTGTCATATCACCCGTCACTAGGCATATCTAAACAATATAGCTATTAAACTCAAAACCCATGCAGATCATATTTCGCATCACCAAAAAAAAAAGTTAACTTTCAAACAGGCTAAACTCAAAACCCATGCAGATCATATTTGGCATCACCGAAAAAAAAAGAGTAAACTTTTAAAGAGACAAAGCAGAGAGGGCTAACCAGCGACATCTTCCGTGCCACGGAGCCTCTGCAAAACCTTCTTGGCCTCAAGCATCCGTCCTTTGCTCACAAGCCACCTTGGAGACTCAGGCAGGAAAAATACAGTCAATAGGAAATAGATAATAGAGGGAATAAAAAGAACTCCAAGCATCAATCTCCAACTCGGAGCCTCCATCAAGGACATTCCAAACACCATGCAATATGAGAGAAACATTCCACCAGATCCAGTGAACTGAGGAAGGGTATTCAACAACCCCCTTATTTCAGGCGGTGCCGTCTCAGATATATAAACTGGAATTAGAGTAACAGCCAAACCAATGCCAAATCCATCCAAGAGCCTTGCTAGAAGTAGAACAGAAACATTGGGAGACCATAGCATTATAAGACCACTAATGAAATAAAGTACAGATGAGATTATCAGCAACGGACGGCGGCCTAGCATATCAGATATGGGTCCAGAGCACATAGTAATTAAAGTGGCTCCAACAAGTGACATAGCCACGATTAGTCCTTCTATAGCTGGTTCACTTTCCAAATGAAATTCCTTTTTTATGTATAAAACAGCCCCTGCAGCGGCAAAGGAAAACAGAAAATGACTTAAATCACTCTGCCCAGACATTCATGGTTCTAATTCAGAAGGTCAATTCAAGCAAGATCCAATTATAAACCATTAAAGAGAAGCAAATATCGGTTACTATAAGTCGATCAGAAAAACAACTCGAAGCTTGAAAGCGATCATTTCTTGTGCAAAGAATTACCTTTAAAAGCTGAAGAAACCTTAAAGCATTTTAGGCCATGACAGTTAAACTAGGAAATAGATGATCAAAAGGGAAAATTACCTGCGATGGTTGCATTATCCCATCCTTGCAATAAGTTGCCGACAGCAGCAGCAACAGCTACAAGCACAGCTCCACTCATCTTCCCTTAAGCCAAGATTTCTTCTGGGGAAAAAAACCGACAAACCAAGCACCCTGAAAGAGAAGATTCCAAATCAGAGATCACATGGTGGAAAGCTTTATTGCTTTCCTAATTCAACAAAACTAGATATAATTACAATAGTAGAATTCTCTTGTAAGATACGAGGATCTCTATTGGGCAGAGAAACAAACCAATGGATCAACACTACCAAACCACCAAACCGATGAACACAACGGAAAAAAACAAACTAAAGACTAATTAGAAAACAAAAGACAACGAAAACCCAGACGTCCCAATCTAACATGAAAACAACAAGTGGTTATTTTTAAAAATTACCGACGCGATGAAGAAAAAGAAGCAGAACCGTTAGATGCGTCCTTTCATGTATTATCAGATGAAGAAAGGGTCATTAAATTCTCTGCAAATTGCAATGACTTGCGTCTAAAAAGTTGTCCTTTGTGATGATTTCTTCTCTTTCGTTCTTGTATTTTGTATTATAATTCAGGGCAATGGAATGCAAATAGAGGAAGGAGAGATCTTTCTTAGGTCACAGATGGAGAAGTGAAAAAGGAGAGAAATTTCAGCAAAAGAGAAGCAAACCAAAGGCCTTCTAAAGTACGACACCTGCCCCCTATGCCTCTATATTTACCCTGCACGTAGCCACCTTCCTCGGATGGCTTTTTCTACACATCACTCTCGCTATCAACCCCATCTTAGCATCACCACAAGAAAAGATGGGGCCTCAATTCTATATATTACAAAATTTCAAAAAGAAAAGAAAAATAGAAAAGTTCGAAACTTTATATCACATTTGAGAAAGCAATAATGTGGAAGCGTACAAGGGGCTAAAAGGGATCCATCCAAATATCCATGTAAGTCTGGACCCTAGACGTTGGAATCTAGTGGTGTGTCCACTGACGAACAATTTAGTGTCTAACCAGTAATCTAAACAAACCAAGACACAGATTGTGTCAAGTTTCCTTCCCTTTGTTAACCATGTGATATTAGCAAATATTAAGGATTCGCATTACCAAACAGACAAAAAGGTAATAAATCAGAGCTGATGCTGAAAATTTTAATTTTTATAAAACAATTGCAAAAGAAGATGTTTCCTTATAAAGAGCCGATTACTCACTTAGCATTCAATACTATTTATATAGCATTGAATCGACATGGATGATGCGCGCATGTAAAAGTAGGACGATCAACGATTTTGTCTCTGTAATTTTGAACTACCAGACAAAAACTTAAATTCAAAATCATTTCATGGGGTGGTTAAAAATATGATAATGGTTGTTCATGTGAGAGTGTCTGGGTGTGATGGTAACTATTTTTTTAAGTAATTTTCATTTAAAAATATATTAAATGATATAAAAATATTAAAAAAATAAATACAAAAACAATCAAGTACAAGCATCAAAATTAATATCCCCATCTAAGAGGAGCATCATGCCAAGTGACACGCCCTAATCTAAATGGATGCAAATTCTATTTGGATCTTGGATGTCGAGGTGGACTTCGAGACCTGTAATTATGACTTTGAGCTTGTGTTAAGGTGATTTATAGAGAGATACGGGGTCGTTTGGTTAGGAGTACAGACACCGAACCCATCAGATACCATCCAGATTCTAGTTTTTTTCTAAAGAAAATTGACGCTTCTACAAAAATAATCATAGCCAAAAACCAACAGTAGATGCAGGGTATGTACACTTTGTTCGTCACTCTTTGTGGTTGCGCCGTCGAGGAGAGAAGGATGGGCATCCCTGTCACGTTCCATAAAAGGAAGGGAAAGCAGCCGGAAGAGCAGAAGATTCGGACTAGGAATTTTACTTCTTTTTACTAATTATGGGTCCCCTCCGGCTGGAGATAACGGGGAGGGAACCACCTCGCTTCACTGACTGTTTCTGCGCTACAACCTTCTCAATTATTTGCACCTGGGACCCACCACCCTCTGTAGGGCCCCAGTTCATGTCCTAATCATGGTGTGGTTAAAGTATAGTTGACTATGGTTTCACTTCTCACATGCTATCAAATTGAGCTTTGATTTTAGTTTGGTACGGGGCTTTAATCAGCCTCATCACTCTTGATTGTGAGGTTCAATGAATTCTACTGCAGGCAAGTTTGGCATCGCTGTCCATTTATGTTTTTTAACATTTTAAAATTTTTAATTTTATTTTTTTATATTTTTATATGGTTTGATTTGTTAATATTAAAAATAAATTATAAAAAATATTATAATACATTTCTAAATAAAAAATACTTCAAAAAATGATTTTTATTACATTCTCAAACAAATATTATAATACATGACACCTGTATTCTGTATTTTAGTAGATGAAAATCTTAGATTAATGCAAAGCATTAATATATAAAAAAAATCAAATCTTGGGAGAGGTCAAGTAGATAGATAAGTTTTTTTTTATCTTCTTTTATTTTTTTTAATGTCAAATCTTAAGCTTATTATTTAATAAAATCGACTCAGAGATCGTGAATAAAAAATTCTTAATTTTAATTAATATTAAAATTGGTCTCAACATATTCTTAGCTGATGAATAAAAAAAACTAAACCCACCTTTTTAATTCCGTGGCATGCTAGTGACAGAAATATAAAAAATTTATGCTTGAATTTCAGGGGGTGTTTGGCTCCTGTCTTGATTAGAATTTTCAAAAAAATTAAAATTTATTATATATATATATATATTAATATTAAAAATAAATTTAAAAAAATAAAAATTATTATTTTAGTATATTAACGAACCAAAAAAACCCGGGCGATAGCAAAGATTGTGGGCTGAGATGCAATTAACTGTTCAGCAATCAATCAATCTCCATGGCCAAGTGATAGTGACCGCTTCCTCTCTTGCACAGTACAAGTCACTGGTTCTCCAAATACCATTTTATATGACAGTGAAACCTATAATTGATCAGTGCACGTGGGGCCTTCTGTAGGGACAGTACAGTTCCTCCAAGACAAGGATTTTTTTTACATTAAAAAATATCTTATTTTATTAAGAGTTCTAGAAAAATAATAAAGGTTAAAAAATATTTTAAAAATAATATAATTTCAACACAAATATATTTTAAAGAATAATTTTTATATATAATTGTTATTTGGAATAGCAAGAGTCATGTCTCTAAGTGTATTTTTTTAAAAAATAAAATAAAATGATGTAATAAAAGATAAAAATAGAAAAAGAAAAAAAATAAAGGATCATCGAAAACATATTAAAATTTTATTTTCAACATATTTGATATAGTAAAAAATAATTTGATAAAATAATTCTAATTATATCTTGAAAGAATATAAAAAAATATCGTAATTAACCTAGAAAACCCTGGTAATTTATGATTTTATTTAATGATTTTTAAAAATATAATTAAAATTATTTATTTGAAATTATTTGAAGAATATTAGATGTGTCAAAAAAAATTTTTGATGTATTTTCTATTTTTAATCATTGAATTTTAAATCTCATTTAAGCCATCAATTAAAACTTCATAAAATCCTACGTGTAATTTTTATACATGTTATTTTCTTGGATCAACTATTATTTTTAATAACAATTATGTCTAATTGTTATTTCAAATAGTAATTTAAAATATGTGTTTAAATTGTGTTGTTTTTTTTAATATATATTGTTTTTGGACATGGATTGATTTTCCGAAACTTTTACTGGACGAATTCTGAAATACCCTAAAGACAAGGGGTAGATGCAGTACTGTCCATTATCCTCGTATTGCTGTCCACGTGGGTTGAACTCTTGGTTTTCCGAAACCCTAGATAGAGCTACTCCTATTGGTGTCACCTAAATGACGGCTGCAATCTCGGAGTAGCAGTGGACTGCCTACGTGTTTTAAAAGGTACGTGTAGCGATAGTTACTCATTTACTGACACTATGCAACGTGCACGAGAAATTAGCGTTGGAGTTTTGACCCGGTGGAAATGAGGTTTTTTTTTAAAAAATATAAAATAAAAAAGTCTTGTTTTATTTTTTAAAAAAATTGATTTTATTTTAAAACATTACCTTTTCAAAAAAATTGATAGAAAACAAAACATAAAAAAAGTTTTTGAAAAATAACATGGGAAGAATAATGCAATTCAATAACCTATATATGCTATTGAAACAACTATATAGGGATATATAATTATTTTTTTATTTTCTAGTTTAATTTAAATCTTAAAATAATACTTATCTTGCAAATAAAAACAATTAAATTCATTTTATTCTCAATAACCATGATAATCATTAATAAAAATATTATATGTAGTCAATTTAATTTTTCCTAGCCTAGCTGGTTAATTAAGGATTATGACATTTATAAATGAAAATTATTAATAAGATTAATTAAAGTTAGTAGAATTTCTTGGTTGAGTTGTTATAGTCAATTGAAATTTTAATAAGATTTCTTAACTTAGCAGATTTATTAATAACTATGAAAAAAGGTGAAAAAAAATAACAAATTATTTTGATAACAAAAGAATAAATGATAAAACCGGCAAGAAAAATAGACAAATATTAATAATTAAAAAATAAAACAATTTATTTTATATTTCACCATGTTACAATCTTCTCATATATATTGAATTATGTTGTTATTAATTTACCAATTTATTATTTTTTTAAAATAATTTTATATATTTGCTAAAAAAACTTTTGGCATGTTTTAGTTTCAAAACATGTATGCATACTCAATTTTGTTTAGATATATAAAATTAATACATCTTATTATATAATCTAAAAAGATTATGAGTTAAAAAAATATTTGATAATAAAAAAAGAGCAAAAATAATCAATTTTAAGAGTTAATTAGAAGAATCTCGATCTTATACTATAATTAATTAACCACTTGGACACTTTTTTTCCGCAGAGTATAAAAGCAAAGCACGAACCACTCAAAAGGGAAAAAACAATTAATATAAAGAGAGTAGTAAAGCATGCGCCATTAGCTAGTTAATTGACAATGAAAAAAAAATAGAAATTAGGGGAATCTAACGGTCAAAGGCATGCGGGTCATCAATATTCATAACCCGTTTGTTTCTGATATATATTTTTTAAAAATATTTTTAAAAACAATGTATCCAAACACTAATAATTAAAGCTACCATTTTTTTAAAAAAAAATGATATGGAATATAAAAGGGAAAGAAAATCATGGCATTTCGAAAAAAGAAAAAAAGAAAAGGGCAAGTACGGTATCATGCGGTGAAGGCAGGATATCACTCATTTCAAGCTATACAAAGTCAAGCAAGTGAAAAGAATCTAGCTGTCCACTTGGCCGTCAATTCTTTTCTTTATTTGATAATCATAGGTGGTTGTCCTTATGAACACTGATCATGATGATGATTCAGATGCAGCAAGATTCAAGTCAGAATTAGTAGACAAAAACTGGAAGGAGACAGCAGCTTGATAGAATCATGAAGAGCTACATATACGTAAGCATATGACATTCATGGAGGAGGAGGAGGAGGGATTAAAATAAGTTATTTTTTCAATTATTGGAAATTATTAGATCTTGAATGATAAGTGTTCAAATCAACATGCTCATGCCTCATGCAATCTGTTAATTAGTATACTTCCAAAACAAAAACCAAACAGGTTCTTCATCACGGCAGCCGAACCAGATGTGTCCAAGGTATATGCATGAGTGTCGGAAAAAGGATATGTCCTAGCTCGAATAGCTAGCATCATCACGGGAAAAGATTTAGCCTTTAGAGCCCTGTCTCATTTCACCGATATCTAACTGGCCGGATGTAGTCGAGCGGGGGAAGTAGGGCATCATTTCAAACCACTTTTACGTACCCTACCCTCTTTAGGGTTCATGCTCATCGTTAAATGTACAATATCGAGTCCTGCCGACAAAACGGAGCTCATAGAACAGTGTTGGAACACATCCATACTCAATGGACGGCTCTCGTGATGTCACTCCCACGGCCCCACTATTAATGGAGCCCCTGGTGATAGGTACTGCTGCAGTGGATGATGATCCATTCTATGGTCGTCCTCGTGTTAACTGTCATGGCTCATAAAGTTACGTAAGCATTTCCGAGTTCTCGAGCGGAGGATTTCGGTCTCCAAGGCCCAAGCTTATAAATTGTTCTTCTTCAACCTTACAACACTGCTGCACTCTTTTTGCAGCATTTATAAGGCCTGGGATGGAGTCTCAAAAAAACCTTTCGATAGATCTGTTGGTTTTTTTTTTTTCACAGCTAATAAGATGGATTGAATTGTTCCAATATGCTTCGGAACCTTCCTATGATTCAGTTTGTTTTTTGTGTTTAACCTTACCTGTCTCCTTGCATATAAAAATACAGACTCGCCCACAATTAAAGATGAAAGGATCATGTAGTCTGTTATATATATATATAGAAGGCTTATTATATATATTATTGGTGTAGTTTGTAAATAAATATAGAAAAATATTATATATATTACTGGTGTAGTTTGTAAATAAATATAGAAAAAGAAGATATTGTTTCTCATATTAAAAAAGAAACATTTATTTTTAAGTATTTATAGGTGTAAGTTTTTATTGTGTTGTAAATTGAGTGACAATCATGGTGAATGAACTTTTCTAGTGTATTTTTTAATGTTATTATATAAATATTTATAATATAAAAAAAGCACCTGGGATAAAACTAAACTAATATACTAGTGATATTAATTTATTTTTGAATTAATTTCTTTAATTTTTATAATTGATTTTGACATTTATAACTGTTAAGATAAAATTTAATAACTACTGACATTTGTAACTGTTAAGATAAAATTTAATAACTACTATGTAGTATAATTTAAAATATAAATATTTTATTAATAGTCATAATATTAAAAGAAATATTATTTTATTTCAATGTTTTTAAGTCTAATAAAACAAGTTATTCTACAAAGAAAACATATGTATGAAAAAAAAATATTTTTTTTTACCTTCTCTTCTTATTTTTTTTAAGATTTAGAGGTTTAGTTATATTTTAAAGATATTATCTTTGTGTGGAACAAATAAATACCTTAAAATAGTGTTTTTACACCTCTAAACCAACTATTTATTTGTTTATACTTTAAATAATTTTTTTAAAACACACACATATATTTCTCACAAAAACTAAGAAATTTGTGAGAATAATCAGAAATTTGGATTATGATCAATCGTATTACATTTTCATAAACCCAATTAAACGCTAAAATTCTAAATTCTAAATCTTAAATTCTCCTCATCAATCCAAGTAAAGCAAGCGGGGACGATTGAAGCTTGGCAATGATTTATTGTAACAACCCGACCCAACATGTTATACATTATTCGTTTTGGCTCAACCCAACCTGATTTTCACATCTTATAATTTTATTTTTGGTAGTTCATAGGCGCAAAACGTGTACAATATGTTGACAACCAACACTACTAATAAAGTCCTGACTCATTTTGGCTCAACTCAACCTGATTTTCACATCTTATGATTTTATTTTTGGTAGTTCATAGACGCAAAACGTGTACAATATATTGGCAACCAACACTACTAATAAAGTCCTGACTCTGGATGTTTGCTTTTAATGTGGAATATCATAATCCCTCTATTTTAAGATAAGTTATCCTCGGCTCTGATATTAAATATAACAACTCGGTCTAATATGTTATATATTTTTTATTTTAACTCAACTTAAACCGGTTTTCATACACCATAATTTTATTTTTGACCATTTATATGCTCCAAAATATATATAACATATTAACAACTAATATTATTAATAAAATCCTAGCTCTGAATGCTCATTTCTAACTTGGGGGATATCATAACTATGCTATAGTATAATTCCTCTCAAGTAATTAGATGGCACTTCAATTTTATAATCATGAGAGGTCCCTCTTCACCAATTGTTTTCCCCTATGCGCTAATCCCTCCCCCTTCCTAGTATAATATACTCGGTCCTTTTTGTTTCAAAACTATTAATTTAATCCTTAAAAATGATTAAAAAAATATTTGTTTTTCCATGAAAGGATATTTTTTCTTGACATGTTTAACCCTCTAATATAAAAATTAGCTCTCCATCGTGAGAGATGATCGATCTAGTCTGATGTTCAAAAATAAAATGTCCCTAAAAAGGATGCATCTTTGACATTTTCAAGTATTTCCATCTACTTTCTTACAGGAAAAAAAAAAATTGATCCTCCGTATCAGTGATGCTGGATTCGTCCTTGATGGAAAGCCCATCCATATCGAAATTAGAAATTCATAAGCTATTTTATTTTGATGGCCTAATTTCAGATTCTAAGCTTGGTGAAGCAGGTTTGCATGGTAACACACCAAAAGCCTTCTTTGGTTAGAGCCTCTGTGACCTCTCCCGGGTTTTATATTTGGACAGGCTTCTTCTGAGCCCATTTGGAGTTGATTTCTATCTAGTCTACCCTTTCGTAAAAGCTCCAAGATTCTTGGGTTTCTCTACTTTAGTTAGGTCTTGGTGGCAGCAGAAAAGTGTTTTGTTGTGAGCCGTATGTTTGGAACTGCATACGTGCACGAATTGGCAGCAAGGAATGGGAGAGAACAAGTCAGCTCTTTTCTTGTTGCCTTCTTTTTCTTCGAATCAAACCCTTCAACTCAAAAGTTTCGTGCATGATTTTATATGGTTCACGGGACATCTGGCGTCAGCTCACGAAGCCTATAAAGGGTCTTTACTTTTTGGTTAGAAGTTTTGAACTTGAAGAGAAATGTGCCTTCTCTTCAAGAAATAAATAAAGAGAATAAAAAGGGAAGTTGATCAAAGAGAGGAATGGAGGAGATGAGAGGGGCTCGACAAGGTGGGAGTAGTCTTGTGAAGGAGTTCTCACCTGCCTACTATGGGCTTTGTGCCGTTGGAGGAATGATCAGCGCTGGTACCACTCACCTTGCTATCACTCCTCTTGATGTTTTAAAAGTCAATATGCAGGTACTTTTTTGTGTTTCTTCCTTTTTCTCTTTTTGGTGACTTGCCTTGATCATCAACACATTTTTAGCCCCTGTTCTTTCTTTTTTTGGGTAGTTCTTTGTGTTTCAGTGATTGAACTGCATGATGGGGTGTTGAAGTTTTAACAGTATGACTATAAGAGGGTTTTGGTGGGTTTATCTTAACTGAAATCAATCAGGCTAATTATTGCTAATTATTATTAGGATTTTTCAACTAGCACATGGGAAACTCTTTCTCATCATGTTGTCAAGGATTTTATGATGGGCCTTGGGTATGCTAGTCATTTATGCCTAATCACTTGTGTTTCATTTCTTAATTATTGCCACTATTTATTTTTTTTGATTTCGTCCTTTCTATGACTGCTGAACGTTATGTGTTGTTATTTTGCCCTTGTTTAACATATGATTCTCAAAATCTCTTCAGTTCTGGTCATGTGCCTTTATTCAATTTTGAAACATTTGTTTATTTATTTATTTAGTTAAAGAAGCAATAATTATTTATTGGTAATTTGTCTGACTTTCATTCCGAGAGTGGAACTTTTTCTTCCATGGCATGCACCAGCGGTCTCGTAATCACTCTTCTTTCTCCATTGACGCGGTGCGTTTCAACTTCCAAGCGTGGTTTTTTCTGTCGTTATCCCTTAACCTTTGAAACATGAATTGCCATATCCCACGTGTGTTGAATAAAATTTCCAAATGAGGGAGAGGAGAGCAATTTGGTTGACAAGGACAGAGCTGTTAAGAGAAGGGGAAGAGTTTTACTTTTATAGATTTTATCATGGGCAGAGTAGGTTCGTTCAGTGTCAAGGCCATAAGCTTTTTGGTTTTGAGCTTCATAGTTTTTCTTATTTATCTCTCATATAATTTACTTGAAGTAGATTAGATGACAAATTACAGAAACAATACATTGCTTAATGAAACTAAATCCCGCTTAACCTGCTTGTAGACATTGCATTTCAAATTTTCAACCATCAAAATGACCTTTTAAGCAAATATTTCCAAATTACAATAGTTTGTCATTCACGTCTTTGGCAACTGGAAGCAATCCAGTTATCTCTTCTCCAGCACTTTTCTTCTTTTTCCATGTTTCCACTTTCTCTGCTACTTAAAAGTTTTGAGACCGCTCTTATAATATATATTTTCTCTACTATAGGCGAATCCAATCAAGTATAACAGTATTTTGTCAGGGTTCTCTACCCTCTTGAAAGAACAAGGCCCTTCTTCCCTTTGGAGAGGCTGGTCTGGCAAGCTCTTTGGATATGGTGTTCAAGGTGGCTGCAAATTTGGCCTTTACGAATACTTTAAGAGGCTTTACTCAGATGTCTTGATGGATCAAAACAGGAATTTCGTATTCTTTCTCAGCAGTGCATCTGCTCAAGTATTTGCTGACGTGGCTCTTTGTCCGTTTGAAGCTGTAAAAGTTCGTGTCCAAACACAGCCTACATTTGCCAATGGCTTGGCTGATGGGTTTCCAAAACTCTATAAAGCTGAAGGTCTCACTGGGTAAATTACCAGAGAACTTGATAGTCTTTCCTTTTATTCTTCTCCCATCATGTTTACTTCCATATTATTTTTGCAGTTTTTACCGAGGACTTGTCCCACTTTGGGGCCGCAACCTTCCATGTATGTAATATCACAGTTTCTCTGCATACTTGTAAAAAAATGTCAAGCTATTATAATTTTATGACTTCCATGTATGTATCTTATCGATTGATTTGATTGAGTGACTACTACAGCACTAGCCAGCTTAAGAGACTGTTTGAATTGAGCTAAGATATGATTTCAGTAAATGACATTATAAGCATCTGCTGCTTGTAATAATTATTTGGTCGTCTTGTATTAACCTTGTTTCACATCTACATGCTGTCTACTTTCCATTACAAGTGGCAGGAAACGAGTGACACACTTTGATTAGGGATCTTGAAGATAAGATAGATCGGAGGTTTAGGGTCACTTTTGAATTGAAGTGACAGCAATACAGTATTTACTTTTAATTAAAGTGACGGATAAAGGAGCAACATATGAAAATCTTTATCAATCCTGCTGCTTACTAGACTTGGGTAGATAAACAGGAAAAGATGAAGTCCTGTACTTAAGATTAAGAAAACCCAAACAAAGACCAGTACTAGAGGCAGTTAAACAATCAAATAAGAAAATGATACTCATTAACTTATCTAGAAGCCTGAGTGCTTTCCATTGCATGATAGAAACCTTATTGTTTTGGTACTTCAGAGATTTCGGGAGACAATGCAGGTGCTGCCAATCAGTGGGATGTGTTTTTGGAGCAACTTACTATTTGTTGACAGGAATTATTGCCTTGATGAAGTTACTTGAGCTTGTATTCTTGCCTTTCCTTGTCTATGTTAAAAAAGCTTTTTGACGTTTGTCTGGTTATTATTGTGATTGGCAGTCTCAATGGTAATGTTTACAACATTTGAGCAGTCAGTTGACCTAATATATCGCAACATTATTCAACGGAGAAAAGAAGACTGCTCCAGAAGTCAACAGCTTGGTGTGACATGTTTGGCTGGCTATGTAGCTGGAGCTGTTGGTACTGTGATTTCTAATCCAGCTGACAATGTTGTTACCTCTCTTTACAATAAAAAGGCTGAGAATGTGCTTCAGGTATGGCTTCTATCAACACTTGTGATTTCTGTCAGCTATGCAATGTAGGAGATTGATTGCATTTGATACATCTATCAGGCTGTGAAAAATATTGGACTAGCTAACCTTTTCACTCGAAGTCTTCCTATTCGGATTGCAATTGTGGGGCCTGTTGTTACTTTGCAGTGGTTCTTCTATGACACTATCAAAGTATCAAGTGGACTGTAAGTGCATCTCATTTTTCATGCTATATCACAAATTCATAATATCAGAAATGTAATTTTGCTTTCTCTGTCAATGTTGGATCCCTGATGAATGGTAAGGAACTGCAGAATCGCAGAATATGCTTAGGCTATTAGTTTGCAAGACCTGAATTGGCACTGCCAAGATTCATGTGTAAATCATATATTTGTTGGAGAAAAATATTTGAAACTTTTTGCCATGGACTTTTAGAGTTCAAAAGGGAGTTTTCTTTTTTGTTCTTAGCAAAGGCATTTACAGCCCCAGGATGGCGTTTTGTTTCTCAGCTAATAAGTTCCGTTGTGTATTAGGATCCTTCTTCTATAGCACCCTCAAGAAGTTCTTAAGATATGGATTGCGGGTTTCATTTATATTTTTCCTTTAGTCACATCCTGACAATGGGAAAGAAGGCATCATCCAAACAGTTCTTGAAACCTCATAATGGAAGATACCCTTTGTATGTTAAGTTCACTGTAAAAAGGTTTTCACATAGGCTCCATGAAGATAAACTTACATGATTTTTCCGAATGCAGCTAACAACGTAATAAAGAATTTTGCTTTCTGCAATTATCCTGCTACAATATGCAATAGCACATGCTCAGAATTTTGAGATATGGGCTGCGTGTTGATTTGTATTGTTGAATGAATTTTTTCCCTTGTCAAACATACATTTTTCCTTTTGTTCATTCTACTTGACATGCTTGAAAATACTTCAGGCCTACCACTGGAGGGCTTGGCAGACATCAGGAAGCCACCGATCTGTTAGCTTAAAAGTCGGGGAAGTCTCCATGTATGAAAGATACATCATCTCCTGAGGAAACCTGTGGCATTTAGATATCTTTCTGAATTAGGCATAGATTTCCTCCTGGACCCAGCTTAGATGTCATAATGTCACAGTTTTGTCCATTCTTTGATTGATTCTTTTCCTTGTGGCGGATAGCTGGTAAAACTGCGCTGTAATTCTCAACCCTCCAAGAATTACAATCAGTGGGGGTGGGAATCTTTTCAGTTTATTTACATAAATCATCTATTTAGGTACTTAAAAATGTTACCATTAATCACTGGAGATGTGCACAGATATATGCTTTCCTTCATTATATAGCATAAATGCTAAAAGGCCAATTTCGTTTCAGAAATAACAATGCTCTGATTTTGACCTGGTTGATCTCAATGCATAAATGGAGCAGGACAGTAGTTTGTCTTTCATGTTGTTTTGCATTTTTTTTCACGTCAATGCAAAGATTTGATTGGTGAACAACATATTTTATATGCAGAGCAGCCACAGTCCATATTTTATAATTTCTTTCGTTGCAAAGTAAATCCTTTTCTTTTGTCGACACTGTAGCTTTCATTTATTAAACAAAGTTATGGCCTTACGGGATCTCCTTGAAATATCCTTCTAGTTATTGGATATGCTTTCAGCCATTAACCACCACAACTTTTTCTATTTTAAGTATTCATTTGGGAACTTATTAGATATTTTTCCAAGTATTTTTTTTTAAATACATAAAATTAATATTTTTTATTTAAAACAGAAAAAAATTCAAAATTTTTGCAAAACTATAATTAGACAACAATATTTTTAATGCAGTCTTGTAATATTTAATGGCAGGCTTAGAGGAGAAACCCACGAAAGCTTAAGATCTTGAGAGAAAAACGAGAAAGATAAGGTCGTGCATCGATCTAAATCCAGCTGAGAGTTCACTGTCCTATTGTCTGGAAGACGTTGGTAGATGGATGATGATGTCAGAAAAATGATGCTTGCACCGGAGGGGCCTTCCCTAGTTAGCCAGGATTGTGAGATTGACGTGGTCAACTTGGCCCACCAGGATGCATTGTGCCCGTTTCCCATTTACCATCACCTCCTCCCCAGTTGACCATCTCTCAAAGGAGTTGGAATTCAACTTTTCTGCTTAATAATTTTCAAATGGCTGGCCAGTCACTCGTTCACACTGACCATGCCAAGCCAGAGAAGAAAAGATGAGAAATCTTGGCATAACAGTCCCTTTTACTTTGACAAAATGATGGCTTCAAGTGATGGGTGTGAGCTTGGCCTCAACAAAAGAGAGCCAAATCCTAAACACTAGTACTAACTACTAGTAGATTCAATCATCACGTTGATAGCTTTGTGTAAATCTTTTATTTAAAGTTCCAAGTTCTGACCGCTCCACGCTCCCCCAGAATCCAAAGTCTGACAGAAATGATATGAATTAGCTAGTCTTATCCTATCTTATGTGGATAATAGGCAGGTAAAATGCTCAAAAATAAAAATGACACAGTCAATAAAAAACCCTGAAGATCACCATAAATGGTTGCCTAAAAGTTAACGTTAAGAGAGAAATGAGTGTCTAAATTTAGAACTTGCAAGGCCAAGTTTATCTTTGCTCAATGTAGCTGCAACATTTTGACCAGACCAGTCTTAAAAAAGAAAACAGAAAATTCCATGTTGTCAGAGAAGATCCACTATCTCAACAGCACGTGAGAACGACGCACCAATCAAGTATATTCCGGGAGCCAGCGAGACTTACTCTCCAAGCACAACGCACCATGGGATTGTTATGATGAGGTCACTAAAGTTTTTAGTTGGTTAGCTTTTCGAGGAAGGAAATGGTGTAATAAGCGCATCTCCAGTGGAGAAGTCAAATCAATAGTTAAAAATAAAAAAAATAATATTTTAGCATTTATAATGGAGAAGCCAAATAAATAATCAAAATAAAAAATTAATATTTTAGTTTTTTTTATTTAATTTGTATATTTTAATAAAAAAGTCAAACAAAATGCTAAAATATTTTTTCTCTCTTTATTTTATATATTTTAATGGAGAAGTCAAATAAAATGCTAAAATGTTTTTTCTCTCCCACAAATGTTATTTTTACATATCTTTTTAAAGAGCCAAAACCAACCTATAAATGCTATTTTTACATATTTTTTTAAAGAGCCAAAATCAACAAAGTGGGACCACTAAAAAAATAAACCAATTAAATATAGTCATGTGAAAAAAATAATATTAAATATATTAAAAAATAATAAAACACTTGTTTTTTTTATTTTAATATAAATAACTCTTCAAATAGTTTTTTTTTATTGAAATAGATATAATAAAAAAATTATATTTATACTATTTAAAAAATAAATATAATAAGATAAGTTATATTTATACTATTTAAAATGCTATTTTATCAATTTAATTTTTTAAAATAATATTTTGGATTAAAGATACTCTAAATAGGAAATTAAAGTGGGGATGAGCGTAGAATTATTATCCATGAAAAAAAAACAAAAAAAATGGAGGAAATTAAAGAAAACTGTTCTGTAGCAATGACTTGATTGAATGGTAAAAACAAAAGAAAACCAAAAATGCAAAGCCGCGTACCCTTTCTTCCATCAAAAAAATATTAAAAAAAAAGAGAAAAAAAAAAAGAAAAAAAAAGAAGAAGAAAAGAAGTTAGCTGGTCAGCACTCTCCCATCCGATGTTTCCCAGCAGCAACAAGAAACCCCATTTAACATTTATAACATCACATTAATAAACAAACAAGTCTCCTGTTCTTTTAAGTTTTTATACATTGGGTTCTCCTCATTTCTTCCGTTCTTTTCTACATATCACTCAGATCCATATTTTCTTCCCCTTTATAATTGAAGACATAATATAGGTAAGTACTTAAGTGATCATGTCTTTCTTATGTTTGAATCCTGTCACTTTCTTTAAATAGTTTCTTGTTTCCTTGGTGGGTTTTTCTGCTTTCGTAATTTGCGATGGTCGTGTTGTAAAGATTTGTTCATGTGGGGGGTTTGACTGGTACTTTCATCATCATCTTTTTGATGTATTTTGATGCAAAATCTTTCATTTTGTTTTGTTTTTTTGCTCCCTTCTTCGAAAAGGAAGAGGGTATTCCTTTTCTGATGAAACAAACTGAACAGCAGGCTTGATCTGATGTTAGATACTTTCTAATCTTGGAAAAGGTTCGTCTGCCTGTATACGCACATAGAAATACATGTGTGAATTCTATGCATAATAGTATTAATATGCAGTGTTTGGATGTGTCAAGTTTCTAAATTTGGATTTTATTTATTAATTGTGATGTAAAATTCGTCCTTGCAGTGTAATTGATGAGACTTCATTAGATGAGGACAGGGTGAAGTGATTCAAAGGAATTGTGGTTGTTCCATGGGCAATACATGCCGTGGATCTTTCAAAGGAAAAACTTATCAGGGCTACAATCGGCCCGACGAGCAATCCACTACCACTGCCTCCAATTCCAAGCGCAACGCCTCTGATCACTCCAATTCTGAGTATTCCATTTCTAGTCTAACCCCCCAAGAACTCAACCCGAAGAAGGACAGCAACTTACCTCTCATTAGCCCCACCAAGAAAGATACGATAATGAGGCGCGCTGTTGATAGCCAGGCTTATTATGTTTTAGGCCACAAAACTGCAAACATTCGTGATCTTTACACTTTAGGTCGTAAATTAGGACAGGGACAATTTGGCACTACTTATTTATGCACTGATATTTCGACAGGGATTGCGTATGCTTGCAAGTCAATATCCAAAAGGAAGTTGATTTCCAAGGAGGATGTTGAGGATGTTCGGAGAGAGATTCAGATAATGCACCATTTGGCAGGTCACAAGAATATTGTGACCATTAAGGGTGCATACGAGGATCAATTGTATGTTCATATTGTAATGGAGCTTTGCTCTGGAGGAGAGCTGTTTGATAGGATCATCCAAAGGGGGCATTACAGTGAGAGGAAGGCAGCTGAGTTGACTAAGATTATTGTAGGGGTTGTGGAGGCTTGCCACTCGCTAGGGGTTATGCATAGGGATTTAAAGCCAGAGAACTTCTTGTTGGTGAATAAGGATGATGATTTCTCACTCAAAGCTATCGATTTTGGACTCTCTGTTTTCTTCAAACCAGGTATACGACGCATCATTTACATTTTGTTGAACTATCAGCATATCGAGATACTAAAGATGTTTATATAAAAAGATATCAAGATGTGTTACTTCATTTAAATATTTATATGAAACACTTTTACCATTTCGATTGCATGTTTTACTTATTAATAACTCTCCACATGTTAAATTCTGTACCTTCTTTTATGCTTTTGTTTTATGAATTTGAGTAATTAAATTTTTTGCTACGCATTCCTATAATTACTTGACAAGTATAGCGAATTTATTTGCACTTTGCTTCTCTAATTACATCAAATCGAATTATTGAGATGTAGTAATGTGTAGCATTCTTGAAAACTTTTGGTACATGGTAAAACAATGTAATCTTGAGGATTGATGCTTATATGTGGTTTGTTCTACAGGTCAAGTTTTCACTGATGTTGTTGGAAGCCCATATTATGTTGCTCCAGAGGTACTCCTCAAGCAATATGGGCCAGAAGCTGATGTGTGGACAGCTGGGGTCATATTGTATATATTGCTTAGTGGAGTGCCACCATTTTGGGCAGGTAGGTATTGTTTGGGATTCTTCTATAAAAGCTAAGTTTCTTGTTCTCTGTGCAATTTACTGAAAATTTATCTGTTTGGATTTCAGAAACACAACAAGGAATATTTGATGCTGTGTTGAAGGGATATATTGACTTTGACTCAGACCCATGGCCTGTAATATCTGACAGTGCCAAAGATCTCATCCGGAAGATGCTTTGCTCTCGACCTTCAGATCGCTTGACTGCTCATGAAGTTCTATGTATGTCTGACCTTTCAATAATTTCTTGAGTTGATCGATAAGTAGGCAGGCTGCTCTATCCAATTTGGATTTGTTATCTGTGTTTACTATTGCTGCAACCCAAATGCCAGATAGCAGAATGACTATTGAAGGATGTGTAGTCTACGTAACCCTTGCTTTGTTTGCAGTGCTAATAAAAATTGCGACTTTCCTTTTTGGCTCCTCTTAGGTCAATCACTTTAGGTTGCAATTAGTGCTGCATGTGAAACATCATGTTGCCCTTGAATTACCACATTAGTTTGTGCATTGCAATCTTCAATTCACTGTTGTTCTAGAACTCACCACTCTCTAGAAGGTTTACTATCAAACATAATTTTGCAGAGTCTGCAACTTTTGGACTTGGATCCAAAATTGCTCTGTTATTGTGTGGGAACTCCTTATCTGCATAGTTTGCTGTCTTTGATGATTATTTGATTTTCAGCCAGAATCTAGATCAAACTGACATCTGTTTGCTTTACCAGGTCATCCTTGGATCAATGATAATGGAGTTGCTCCTGATAGAGCACTGGATCCAGCTGTACTTTCTCGTCTTAAGCAGTTCTCTGCAATGAATAAATTAAAGAAGATGGCTTTACGGGTAAGTGCATGTGCATGTTCATATGCATTTGATTCTTTGAGCATTCTAGATTCCAGTTGACTCACTTCATGAAGATACTCAATCACTTGGCAAATATGGATGGTGGCATTAATTATGCATCTGTGTCACTTGTCCTCATGTAGTTTTTGTTTGTTTCCCACTTGCTCTCTTGGACTTATGTGCAGTCTATCATTTTAGCTGGAAAGCATACTTGACTTTGAAACTTTATTTGCTACTTCTGAGGCCAGATGCTTGATCTTAACCACTTGTCGTGTTTTAGGTATGACTCTTTATACTTTACACATTCTGATGACTTCTATTTGCATGTTTCATGTATCAGGTAATAGCTGAAAGCCTTTCTGAGGAGGAAATTGCTGGTCTGAAAGAAATGTTCAAGGCTATGGATACTGACAACAGTGGTGCAATCACATTTGATGAACTCAAAGCTGGTTTGCGAAGATATGGCTCTACCTTGAAGGATGTAGAGATACGTGATCTCATGGATGCTGTAAGATTTGTGTCAAAGCATGATATCTGCATGTCTGGTTGTTTTTGTACTTCTCCATTGCATTGCTTTTTCCCCGTCACATCTCCTTTTCTCCATTTTCACACGCTTGTTTTTTCCTCTTGATATGTGCATGCTTTTCATCTTTATGATATTAAATCTTACTGTTATCTTCTAATCAGCTGATTAGTGTTTTTTTTTTCAATTTCAGGCTGATGTGGACAACAGTGGAACAATCGACTATGGAGAATTTGTAGCTGCTACAGTTCATCTTAACAAATTAGAGCGTGAGGAACATCTTGTTGCAGCATTCCAATATTTTGACAAGGATGGAAGTGGTTATATAACGGTCGATGAGCTTCAGCAAGCTTGCGCTGAACACAACATGACCGATGTTTTACTTGAGGACATAATTAAAGAAGTTGATCAAGATAATGTAAGTCAGCTGCTGCTATATGCAAACAGATAGCAAACAGATAAGAGTCATTTGAGTTTTCAATTCCCCCAACTATTTGCTTGTTTCCAAACTTCTCTGATTTGGTTGTGCATGTGTTGTTTCAGGATGGAAGAATTGACTATGGTGAATTTGCTGACAAGATGCAAAAAGGCAATGCAGGCATTGGTAGACGAACAATGAGAAACAGTCTGAATATGAGCATGAGAGATGCACCAGGGGCCATATAGCTTGGGAATATATGATGTACAGTACGTGTCAGCCTTTTGTTTTGGATGATTCCCATTTTCCATTTCCTTATATTTTACTTGTTGCTGGAATTGTCTCTTTCCTGGGAATTTCTAATGCGCATTTCATAATTATTGATAATAGATGTCGAAGGAAAGAAACATTTAAATTATCAAATCAATGATTCGGGTACTCATGTTCTTGACAAAATGGTTTAAGACTTTCTAATCATAATATTCTGTTATGACTAGTGAAGATTTAAAACATGCTTCCAAATGGAAAATCTAATGATCGTAAATTTATTTTTAGATTAATTATTGTGCAGTCTTAGAAGAATACTGCACTAAAACTAAAATACTTTTGAGACATTTTATGGGGTTTAGGTTTGGATACGATTGTGTAGTGATGTATGATTACCTACTGTAGTCATGTATTTTGAATCAGATCCGCATTGGCAGGCTGCACAGCAGAGCTGGAAGATGCGGATGACTGGTGACAGAAGTTTGGGAAATGATTATAATTCCTTCCAAGTAACAGAAGACTTAGATTTTGGAAGTTCATGTGCTTGAGCATTTATCCACGTGCATTTATATTGCTGTATGACTGAGGAAAATGATTGTAACCTTTGTAAACTTCAGTGTGAAGTGTTATTATAGCTGTTCAAGTTGATGAGTTAATTTGTTGTGCTCTTATTTAGGCGTTCTGTTGGTTGATTTTTGAAGAACAAGGATCTTTATGGTTCATTTTTGTACTCCAGGCAGTGCATGGAACCCCGGGTTGAAAAACTTCACCGTATGCTAATGATGGGGATTAACTCTACACGTGTCAATCATAGGAGTCTTGCATGATGAATTGAAAACCAGAAACGGGTCCTTGTAATTGTGAGTAATTGCCACAGTTGATCAAAAAAGAAAATTTTCCAATATTACATGTTGTAATCTGTATTTGTGCTACACGGACTTCGGAGAGAATGAACACAGCAGCATGTAGTGCTGCCTCATGTTATATTTCATCTCCTTGTTGGCAAAAGACAATATAACATACCTCCACTACAAAAACCCCATCTTTGTGATTATTTTTGGCTTGAAAACAGCGTACATGCTAAATATCAGCATTCTTTTCTATGTATTACTAGTAAATTGAGCTGGTTTGAATGGTAGTCTCAGGCTAGACACCCTCTGAAATTGCAGTTTCCTGTGCGATCAAAATTTCCTGCAAATGTAACAAAGGCTGATGTTAAGAAAAACACGAGCCTCTATATGCATATTAACGAATGATCATAAATCCATCTGCCGCGGTTCAGATTTATTTATTTGACAAAAAAAGAAGAAAACAATGATGAATGCGCATAAGCAGAATTCTAGTTGCCTGAAAGACTATTAGTTAAATCGATCTCTCTGCTTGACATAAAAGGATGCAAGAGTTCTTTTGCCCTCAAATAGGTCAATGAGTCATGAGATTTCAAGAACCTTCAGACAGGCCCAGAAAGAAAAAGGTCCCATCATCATCGGATGCACTGACCACCTAACTCGAGTGATTTCAAATCAATGATTGCTGGATGTTAAACTGAAGAAAAAACGCGTGAATCACTGACTAGAGGAGTCAAATAATAGTAACAATCAGTCTGTAGCAACTTGCCTTCAACTTCACATCGCTTGAGAAGATGCATCTTGATGTAACAGCGGATCCACGATCAAACAGCCATCCTACCTCACAGCAAGTTTCACCATCTTTGTTTCCCTTTAGTGAACACCACAATTGCCTGGGAAGCAAAATAATATCACGTTCATCTCTCAGTGACTTCTGCACAGTGTCATCTGATAGTTCTTGAAGCATGACCTGGATAAATTAAAAAAATTAGTTGACTGTGTTTAGTATTCAGGGCATGGAGCGGGATTTGTTAACAAGTTCGAACTAGTTTTGAGTGATAAAACTAGCATAATTCTACCAGCCAACACATATCTAAAACTTCGGATTCAGCAGAACATTATCTAACTCTCTCTTTCAGTGCATGAGCACAAGGACTTGTGCAGGAAAGAATTCTACATGATTACTGGAAAGAAAAAATGAAGGGAAAAAAAAGGTTCTCAAAGAATTAATCCAATCCTTGTAGATGGAACAGTTTATATATCAGATATAGAAAAATCTCGTCTCGGGGAATGATATATACATAACATATTTCTTCTTTCACATATCTAATAAAACTTTGAATTCACAGAAATTATGAACAAGGAGTTACAGAACAGATTCCAAGTAACCACTAGACAGGATAAGTCAAGATGAATTTCTTTGATCCTGGATGAAATTAAGATAAAGGAGGGAACGTTGTGAACTCACATTTTGAGATGAATCAAAAGTGGCAACAGCGCTGGGACCTTGCCAAACACCAACAACTTCCGAAGCCATCAAGGAAGCGGTAGACGCGAATGCTGAATCCCGGATAGCGCATCCACCTAGTTGGTCACCATTTCTAAATGGCCCATACCACTGCTCGCAAAAAACTCTGATACTTTGTAATTCAATCGCTGTATTCGCTACATGAACAACCTGAACTATTCTCATACGAGACTCCTTATCTTGAGGATTGATCAAGCAATGCTCCAATTCCAATTGCTTATACTGGCCATTATCCACAATTGGCCAGACAGCCACATACGACCCACCTGATTGATATGCAAAGGCAGAAACATTATTCTCTACTCCTCCAACAACCCTTTCATCAATGCTATACCGAGTTGCAGCATCAGCTTCACATCCTACAGTGGGAAGTAGTTTGATGGTTTTGTAAGTCATAAGAAAGTCCTGTGGCTGAGCAAGGGTGGGACATTGAGTCTGCCAATCGAAAACCTTAACCTCCCATTCCCTGTAAGCTTCAGGCACCACGGATTCAGGCAGTTCAATTGGCTTTCCTTCAGTTGTGAAGTCTGCTCCAAAGCCATCCCATTCACCAGATATTTTGCTGGCAAATTCCGACCATGCTATAACAACACAAATTAAAGAGAAAAGAATCCTCAATTTCCTTCCAATTTAATATTTACTCCACCATTTTAAGTTTATCAATATTTTTTGCAAAAATAAACACCTATACTCGACCATCATCCATAATATGTCATTAGAAGAAAAAATAAAATGGAGCCCTATGATTTCAGTCCATTCAATTCTGTAACATCTACGGCAAGAAAGAAAGGAATAGCCTTCCACCCATCTCCTTTGGGTACTGCAATCCTAACAATTGTAAGAAAGATGAAAATTTATAAACAACATACATAAACCTTCGTAGTCCTGGAGAAGCAAAATGACCCATGTTCCTTTTTTGCGTTATTCTTCTTGGTATAGGGGTGAGGTAATTAATGAAGCAGTAAAGATAAAATCATGAGAGAATTCTTTGAAGTCTGAGACAAGAACTTACGAGTGGTGGAGGTGGTGGGATTGATGGTTTGCTGGACTGGAGCAGCTGAGACAGTACTACTGGTCTTTGCGACACAATTAGATGTAGTTGGAAGTTTGTATTGGAAGGGATGGTGGAGTGAGTTACTAGTATGTTTGTTGTTGTTTCGAAGTTTTGAGATTAATGGCAAAGTGATCGTAGGAATAGAAGAAGCAGCTCTGTTGTTTCGGGAGATTATGCTGCTGCTGCTGGCAATCCTCTTTCCTCCAACTCCTCCCGCTGCCGCTGCTAATGCCATCATCTGCCGCTGCTTCTTCTTCTGAGTCTCTCTATCTTATCTTTCTAACATAAATAAATGAAGTGCTGTAACTCAACTCTGAGCACTCATACAGTTTGGATTGATTCCTTCCTTCGCTTCTGGTACAAAAGTTAAAGTACAGACAAGACAAAACAAATCAAAACAAAACAACTGAGAGAATATTATTTAATCCTATGTTTTACTTTGTGTAAAGTCCGGGAGAGGGTTAAGATTTTTTTTTTCTTTTACTTTAGCACATTAAAATAAAAATTATATATTTTTAATATAAGATAAAAAAAAATTTGATTGAAATATTTTAATTTAAAAGAATAATATATTATATTTTTAATATGAGATAAAAATATTTTAAAATATTATTTTTAATTTTATTATTTACAATATGTATAATATATATTTATATGAATTTTTTAAAAAAACTTATATAAAATATTAAAATTCTAAATATTTTTTAAATTTTTTTAAGTTAATCTATAAAATTCAAAACTTCATCTCTCAACTAGATGAATTATTAAATCAGGTTTAATAACTGTAGTCATGACTCCTAAACTCTGAAACTTGTATTATTTCTTTACATTGTGTTTTTTTTTTTTAATTTTCTTTTACCATGCCAAAAACAAAACAAAAAATCAGGGATTTAACTTGCAAGAAATTAGTAGAGAGTTGTTTAAAGGCCCAAATATTAATGAAGCTGGCACCATGCAGCCTTAATGGGCCTATTACTGGTTGTGAAAGGCCCAGTGCTCATTAATTATTCCAAGTGCCCTTAAAAGGTCCGTTGAGTTTTTGATTTTGGACCATTTTAGAATATTGGGCATACCACTGTTTACACTTTCATTTCGTTCCTTTAGTTCTTATGCAAACTAGTTAAAATCAATTGGGCTCGGCTCCACCCTATCACCCACTAATATGAAGTTTGTTTTTGGTTGATTTAACAAAAAAAAAAAAATTAATTTGGAGGTTCACTGTGGTAAATTTGACTAATTTAGATGATTCAGGTAATTCGGATGAGATTTTTTTTAAATCAATTCCAAAAACTAAAAAAAATATTTAACTTGATGTTATTTTATTTTAAAAAATTAAGACAACATTTTTAAAATTAACCTAAGTTTACTTGATAAATTTCTTAATTTTAATATTAAAGTTTTGAGAATAATTGAACTCGTGCTCTTCAGCTGGTAAATATTACAAAAAAAAAATATTGATTTTCATTTTTATTTGAGAGATTGAAATAAAATTATGGATATATTAAAAAATTTCTTTGATGATGATGACTATCTAGTCCTTTTACATTTTAAAAGTAGTAATTAATAAAAAATAAAAAAAGGTGACATGCTCTGTTTTTTAATGTAAATTAGATTACTCACACCACACCACATAGGTGGTTTGGGATAAAGCGCTTACTTCATTTTATGAAAAATATTAAAAAAAAATATTTAAATCATAAGTTTGTAGCTTTTGATTGATAGTAATTTTAGTTTTTACAATCTACGCTATATTACGGGTTGGATAAAAAAACCTAAATGTAAAAAAAATATTCAAGTATTATTAATATTTTTTCTTGTTAAAAAATTAAATTATTTAGAGATTGATTCAATATGATATAATTGGCTTAGTAAGTTTAAAGACAACCTAAACACATAATAAAAATATAATTTAACTTAAAATAATTCAAAACAATTTTTTTAAAAAATGAATTAAAAAATCACTAATAAAATGAATAGTATTGTATGAGATGATGTATAATAAAAACACCATTTCTTAGAAAAAACACAATTAGAATAAATAGTGTTATGTCAAGTGAGATACAGCAAAAACACAACCTCTTTTAATGTATTATTAATATACTGTCCATTTTTTTAAAAAAAGAAAGGATTTAGTCTTTTAAATATCTTTTTTTATATCATTTAGGAATGGAATTTAGTCTCTCCATATAAATCATAAGTAAATTCTTTGATTTTTAGATTTAAACTGTGAGACTAATATTTATAAATTTATTAAATCTTTTTGAATATATCATGTCAATGTAAAGGGTGCGTTTTTATGATCTTTGGAGCAAGGAATATTAATATTAATAAAAAAAAATTTATACAGATATATATATAAAAAAAAACATGGTTCAACAATCCTTATTATTGAGAGAGAGAAAAAACGTGTGGAAATACATGTGATCCATGTAAGTCATGGGCATAATTTATAAGAAGGGGTCCGATCAATAAAAACATGAAGACTGTATATGATTTCAGAGATGGAGTTATGATGATCATATTATTTACCACTTGATGTATGAAATCTACCCAAAATCACAATGGACCGACGACAATAAGTAGCCGTCTTTATATTAATAAATTGTGATTGCTAAGGCTAACCAGATTTCGTCTTCATCTCCCTCTGTACTCGTGTACAAAATTTCCAAATCATGCCTGGAAGAGCCGACCTGGAAATGGACCGACGGAAATATGAGAACAGCAAGAGCATATAATATCCAATATTTAACCATTACCATGGTTAGAGGAAAGGGAAAGGGAAAACCTCAACCACTACTTGCATGTCTCAACTATAAAAATAAAAAAATAATAATACAATATTCGTCGGTGACCATCTCATGACCCAATGATGGGGATTCATGTGCCAATGTGTCTATGCTTTCAACAAAGAAAAGAAAAAGAAAATCTGCACCGACACTTACATACATAGTTGACGGAGGAAGCTACATGTATATATGGTTGCATAATCTATCAGGTTGATGATGTTCTAACAATGAGATGCATATTCGATTAATTTTTTAGTTATAGTAATTTAATTTGATTTATTTTATTTAATCAAGATTACTAGGAATTTATACTTTATGTTTAGTAAATCAAAATAGCTCGTATATATAAAATGTTTTTATTGTATATTTAAAAGTTTTTAAATGTTCAAATAAATATTTTTTTTAAAAAGAGAAAATAAAATAGTATTCTAGAGAGATAAATTCTGATAATATATATGCCATATAAAATAAAAATTATAAACTAGTGGTTGAAGGATTTATTGAGTATTTATAATTTATAAGTCTTGTCTTTTTGTATAGAGAAAAAAAAAATATTATTTTACTCTAATAATATTTAATAAAAAATAAATAGTATTTCATTAATAGATTTCTATATATCTAAAAGGTGTAAAAAAAATATAATATAAAATGTAGTTGAGTTTTATTTCTTAAACTGAATCTGTAGAAGCAAAGTTTTTTTATTAGTTAAGTTTACGAGAATTGAACTTTTTTTTTAAACTAAATCCAATAAAGTTAAGATGTTCCCTTAACTAAACTCAAAGGAGTTAACTTTTTTTTTTGCTGTGCTCAAACATAAACATCTGAGTATTTTTAGCTAAGTTCAAGGAGATTAGACTAAATCCAAACACATTAACTAAAAATGTGAGTTTTTGAATATTTAGAGGTTTTTTAAACCTATTAAATTTAAATTCATCAATCATTACATGAGTTTTTATAATATTAATATACAAAAACTTATAAAAATACTTAATTATCATAATAAGTTAACCGAGTTTTTTTTCAATATAAAAAGATAGGATGAAATCTTCGGTGATATACCAAAAACCTCTGTGTTGGGGAACACACTAGGTTTGTAAAAATATTTCTAAATATATAAAAAGATAGGCTTTACCTAACTATGTTATCGTGAATTTTCAGAACCTTTTAGGCAGTCAATTTTAGATTCATCATAGACTATAGAGTAGGGAGGTCCCTCGATCTCCATTCCTGTCTCATGGATGTCATGTGGAGTAATGCCAAAGAAGAAATTCAAGCCGCTGATCGTGCAGCAGCAACTAGGGAAGAGGTGGATCTCCTTCGCTAGCATTAGCCTGGCATCACATGGATCTCATCAATAGATTACCATCCTCTCTGGCGAATGATTGGCATATCACTTTTTGGTCCATATTCCCCCTCGCTTTACACTTTCTACTTCTTGCTTTGTGTTTATAGCCAGATCTACTCAATTACCTCTCACTTTCTTTTCCAATTAAATTAAAGTAAGAGGACATTAGCTACCTACCTACCCTTGTAGCCATAGGCATGGCATGGTTGTGATTGGTGATCTCCGAGAATTTCTCCCAGTCGTTAAGGTGTTGTTTTTCACCTTTTAGACTCAATTTTTTAAGCTAATTGAATACGCTCGATCAATATATGCTCTTAAAATCATATTTTAATCTTGATTAACACAAAGACTAACCCTATAATACCCTTTCTCGTGCAAAACTAAGGAAAGGGAATGGAGATCCTCAAAATTACAGAGAGCATTTGGACTCTTAAATATAAATTAATTAACAAAATATGGAGTTGGTACATCATGGTCACTCGACAATTCATGTAGACTCAAATCATTTTTTGTTGGGTTTTGGGCCCCATAGGGTGCTGTAAGAGCACGAAATCGCGCTTGCTTGTACAAAAAGAGAGGAAAAAAATAAAAATAATTCTTGGTAATTTCTTCTCTTAATTTTCAGTGAACAACATTACACGCGACTTGATTTATGAATATAGTAACACAAGGGTGCAAATGGAGCTTCAAAAACATAAGCAAACACTAATTAAATAAATAAATAGCATTCATTTACAACACTAATTGCAATATGACTTGTAAAATAAAGTGACACGAATCATTTTTGGGTGGCAATGAGCAATCATTACTGGTGGCTCTTCAGGCTTGAAATTAACGGACGTTGATTCCTCTTCAGGCCATGGGAAGCTAGGTGGGTATCCAATGAGTTTATTAATGCTCTCAATTTATGGAGAATCGCATATATTAAGAACAGGATTATACTCGTAATGATCTACTAAACATGTAATTGCTTACTTACAGCCACCAGTATTTAACCTTCATGGACAAGCATTGACAAAAAGGAGAAGAAGAAGAAGAAGACAAACCCAAAAAAAGAACATACACAAAGAATCCTATTCTTGATCTGAATCTCGAGTTCTTGGATTTTAATCTTATTGAACAAATTAATCAAAGCTTGATCAGCTTCCTTTTAACACCTCCAAACGTTGAAGACCGCAAATAACCAAGTAGTAGTAGTCTTTTACTTGTGATCATGAGCTTGATTTGATGACAGTACGCACGTAGCAGTGCCACTACTTTCTCTCAGTGGCGAGAATCGAAATTCTTGGAGTAATTCAAAGAATCATACCTGTAAGTTTGAGGAAGGCCAACTTTATCATCAGATCTCACAAGCTTTCTTACCTCGTACCTGACCTTGTAGAACACATGTCTCCAGCTTCCTTTGTTGTGGCAGCCAAGAACCCTCGTTTCTTCTTCATTCATTTCAAGATCCTGGGCAAAAGGTGGCTTCTTTGAAAGGATCCAAGACCAGCCCCAGTCCCACCATTTCCTGATGGAACTGCCAGCATATTCTCCCATGGCTGAAACAGATTTGGATCTTTGAAATGCCCATTGAGTTGCGGGTGAAGAGATGGGCTGGATTTTGAGGGAAGGAGAGGAGATTCTTCTTCGTAGAGCAGCTGCACCTCGATCTTTCGAGTCATGAGCTTGTGAGACCGGGAGTGCAGCAGCGCCATGGTTTCTCTTTTGAAAGCTCTGGACGATGGAGCTCATTTTTATAGAGATATTAACAAGAGAAGAATATCAAAAGAGATGGGATAGGACGTAGCTAATGCTATTGCTGTGCTTGTGTGAAGGAAGGAGAGGAATCAGCTAGCTTAGAAGAGTGGAAGAGAGGAGAGAAGAAAATTTAAGGGGGGGAGGTGTGAAATATTACAAGTGCTAACAGCTACACACAGGCTGGTTTATTCGTTTATATGGGAGGATAGGTTGGATGCATGCTGATGCGGCAATGGACGCGCATGGTGAGGTCCATTTGCTCTAGCTAGGTCCCGTATGTGCTGGTGGGTCAATGGTAAAACAATTATCTTCTTTTCTAAACGTGATGATTTTTAAAAAAACTTATAAACAACTCTGTGCTGACAATTTAAAAAATAAAAATAAAATAAAAACCCGAAACATGAGAACTGCGTCCTATAGCTCTTGCTGGTGATCATGTAAAGCCAGAGGGTTACTTGAGTTCTCAATTTAGGTGTTGATGATCGTTTGATTATTGTTTACGTTTGAAATATGAAATATCCTTCTTTGGGTTGGGTGGCTGATTGACTTCTTACATTATGATACATAGAATGTAGATGGAGGATGTATGTGCGAAGTGACTGTAAGAAAACATTAAGGTGGTTATTTTTTAAAATTTATTTTTGATATTATTATATTAAGATAATTAAATAATACATAAAAATATAATTTAAAACAAAAAATATATTTTTCTTTTATAAAACCACTTTATAAACGTCCAGAGGCACTTAATATGGATTCTTTTATTCTTTATGAATTATTTTTTTCAATAAATTAATTATAACAAATATAAAGATCCGTGTGTGAAACTAATTATACTATATTGATCAATCGTGATAGTTAGCAATGATATAAAAAAAAATAAAAAATATACAGTTTTCCTTCCTTTTTTTTAACAAAAAAATATACAGTTTAGACTTATTACCTAATGATCTTTAATAGCAAGGGTGTAGTTAGTTTCCTTGAAATGAATAAAAAATTAATGGGATTTTAATGAAAAATAAAAATAAAAACTAACAGATTAATTGGTGTATTAATTATATCCTCATTATATGTATAAATAATATAAACCTTGGAAGAAATAGTTTAAGAAAAAAATTATTGTGTGTTTGATATTATGATATAAAGTATTTTTAATTAAAAATGATTCAGAATAATATTTTTTATATTATAATAAATTATTTTTTTTCCTGATATTTTCTAGATTTACGTACGGAAATTCAATTTGATAAAAAAATAATAATAATAGAAAAATGAGTTCCAATTCGTCGCTAATTAGATCCGCTCAGTGTTAGCTATCGGATCGAACGACAAAAGATATCAATGACCCATACATACATACATCCTGATAATGCTTACACAGCCGCAACTCCACAAGCATTTGTCCCCTGATTTTGTTTTCTTTTTTTCTTTTTTTTTTCCTAAAAAACGTGTGAATAGTGACGTACACGATAAATTGAAGGGAGGTGGAAAGAGATGGTATCAATTTATCATATCGTTCTCAAATTGGTGTAATGTGCGAGTAGAAAACGTGGAGAGACGGCCAAAGTGTGGGACCATCTCAGCTGTCGGTTGCAAAGTCTGTCTGGATCTCTCTCTTCTTTAGTCTCTCTCCTCTCTCCTCTTTTTTTTTTTTTCTTTTTTTTTTCTTTTTTAAAGTAAAATATTACGTTTACTTGAAGTAGAGCCTCAAGGTTCAATAGCCAGAAAAATGATTTTTTTTTCTCAAATTAGCAAAGTGTAAAAACTTATTTCATAAACTAATATAATTGAGAAAATAATTCTTATTTTAGCATAAAACAGTAGTTGTGTATATAGTGCATGCGTATAGATTGTGTATTTACTACTTGTATTTTTAAATTTATCCATAAATTTATTAAAATAATATAATTACAAATATTATTTGTATTTTTAACTCTTTATTCAATAAAAACATAATTACAAAAACAATATAATTACAAAAACAACCGTTATAACTTGAGTTGAAATGATTATTCATCATAACAAATTCAACACAATCATTTTAAAAATTTACCTAATTTTTATAATAGGTAATTTTATAATAACAATATAAAAAAACTTAATCTCAACACCAAAATAATTAACAAAAACCACAAAATAAATCTTAAAACCCTTACACTAACATAATCAATAAAACATAATTCATTAAATTTTCTTATTAAATGAGAGAATGTATACACTTACTTCACTGATTTTATATCTAATTAATCTTAAATTATTGTTAAATTAAGCAAAATCAACAAAAACTCTAACTCAAACCCTAAAACCCTTATGCTAGAAAATTTATAAATTAGCCAAGTAAAATAATAAATTAATAGAAAAAAAGGTGAATATACCTTAAATTGATTAAATGAAGTTCTTGTGGGCGGCGGTGGCGGCAATGACAATAACAAAAAACTAGTGGTTGTCAAGGGTGAAGGTTTAGAGAGAACCAACAACTGAAAAAAAGAGAGAGAAAAGCAAGATCTATCAGGATAAAGGGAGAGAGATGATATTTTTATAATGAAGAGAGAGATCAGTTGGTCTAAGTTGAGAGCAGTGTTGGGAGGAGGGAGAAACAGGAGAAGAAGTAAGGGGAGAGGAAGACAAAAGGAAAAATTGTCTTCAACTGAAAAAAAAATTTATATTCTAGCACAAAAATAATAATTTGTAGTGCATACACCACATATAAAGACATGAATTTGTTATATGGTAGTTTGGGAAATAAGTTTGCTTACTTTGCTGGTGTGAGAAAAAAACTTCTAGAAAAATAGTAATAGATTGCAAAACACCATCTCTATCTCCTCTCTCAAAGAAAATTGTAATTAAAACAAATTTCAATCCAATTAATTACTTGATTAATATAAAGTTTGATTGAATGAAAGATTGAAGATATATATATATATATATATCTTTTAATTAATTTAATTTTGGAATAATTACTAGAGAAAATATTCCCTTAAATATTCAAAATCAATCAATATTAAAATAAGTTTCTAAAATCATTAATTTGGAGTGATGCAATTAAAAAATCTAAAGATATCTCTAAAAATAAAATGAACAACAACAACAACTAAAAAACAAAAAATTACAAGAAAATTTTATAGATTTTAAAGAGTAATTAGTAATATTCTATTTGACTACCGAGAGTGATAAAAAAACATCTTTATTTATTATTTTTCTATTCTATTTATTTTGTATTCAAAATAAGCTCAAACAATAATTAATATAAGACCACTAGCTGCTATTTTTAACATTATAAAATCTTTCATGAAGTCACAGCGGTATGTACATAAAATTCTTGGTATAGTGGCTAAAAAGCCCAGCAAGGAATTATCAGGGAACAGAGCCTTTAAAATCAGCCCAAAACCTAGGCTAGACCATAACCCTATAGGATGTGACAAAGCAAAAGAGAGTTCACTGATAATTGATCAATGCTATGTTGGAGTTTATTTATATGTATTATGGTAAAATATAAAATTATAAATCATAGTTTTTTTTTAATCAAAATTTTATATCTAAAATTATAATGTACTGATTAACTAACGTGATATGTAATTGAAACAAAATATAAATTACATCACATGATACTACAAAAACAAACATAGCTATAGTGTATTTAGTTATATGGTGTCAGATGCCAAGAGTATTTTAAAAAATTTTTTAATTAAAAATATATTAAAACTATGTTTTTTATATAAAATGTTTTTAATTTTAATATTAACACATCAAAACTATAAAAAAATACTAAAAAAATATTAATTTAATATATTTTTAAATTAAAAATAGTTTGAAAAGCATTTTAAGCTTGTTTGATATTTTAATAGCTTTTGTGTTGCGGTGAGTGTTTTTGAGCAATTATGATTTAATGCAATGCTCTTATCTTCAAGAAGAAAATATCAACGCATGTCTCTCATGTTAGTTTATACAGTTATGGTTCTCTCGTCTCTCATTTAGAAATCGAAATAACTGAGCTTCTAGTCTCCATTGTAAGAAAAATGAAAATGCTTGGAGCAAAAGCAATCCAAATAATGAACAAATCGTAAAGGCTGAGTTTGATTTGAAAATTTATTCAACCAACTTCACTTGAAAGCTAACATATGAAACCAAAGCTATATATGACCACCCCGCCCCCGCCCCCTTCCTCATCTCTCATCCATCTCTTCTACTGCTCTGTTCTTACCTCTCATTTTTCTGTCTAATCTCTCAATCTCCATGGCACTCTCTGTTTTAAAGATTTCTTTTCTTACCTTCTTTGCGTCACTTTTCGTGTGTTCGGTTCTAGCCCACGATTTTTCAATCGTGGGTTACTCACCAGAGCACTTGACTTCTGTTGATAAACTTGTTGAGCTATTCGAATCATGGATTTCTGGACATGGAAAGGCTTACAATAGCCTTGAAGAGAAGTTGCATAGGTTTGGGGTGTTCAAAGAAAACTTGAAGCACATTGACCAGAGAAACAAGGAGGTTACTAGCTACTGGCTTGGGTTGAATGAGTTTGCAGACCTGAGCCATGAGGAGTTCAAGAGCAAGTTCCTAGGATTGCATCCCGAGTTTCCTAGGAAGAAGAGCTCCGAAGACTTCAGTTACAGAGATGTGGTGGACTTGCCCAAATCTATTGACTGGAGAAAGAAAGGAGCTGTTACTCCAGTGAAGAACCAAGGTTCTTGTGGCAGTTGTTGGGCATTCTCAACGGTTGCAGCTGTTGAAGGCATAAACCAGATTGTCGCGGGAAATCTAACTTCATTGTCAGAGCAACAGCTGATCGACTGCGACACAAGTTTCAACAATGGCTGTAATGGAGGCCTCATGGATTATGCTTTCGAGTTCATAGTCAACAACGGTGGACTCCACAAAGAGGAAGACTACCCATATCTCATGGAGGAAGGCACTTGTGATGAAAAGAGGGTAAATGCTGATGAGTCGCGAACAATGCATCCAATTGTTGAATACAATGAATATAATTTGTTTAATACCTATTTGTTTGCTGTCTTCAGGAAGAAATGGAGGTAGTAACTATTAGTGGTTACCATGACGTTCCACGAAATAACGAACAAAGCCTCTTGAAGGCACTAGCTCACCAGCCTCTCAGTGTTGCTATTGACGCTTCTGGAAGAGATTTCCAATTCTATAGCGGGGTAAGAAAGCTGAACATGCTCTCACATCTATATTATCTGCTCAATTTTCACCTCCCAGCTTCAAGAAACATTCTAGGTGTGCTCACTATGGGGCTTCTGCTTTTGGTTTTTGCAGGGGGTATTCAGCGGACCTTGTGGAACAGATCTGGATCATGGAGTGGCAGCAGTAGGATATGGTTCATCATCGGGGATAGATTATATCATCGTGAAGAATTCCTGGGGACCCAAGTGGGGTGAAAGGGGCTACCTACGGATGAAGAGAAACACAGGCAAACCTGAAGGGCTCTGTGGGATCAACAAAATGGCTTCATATCCCACCAAACAGAAGTGACATCATTCTGAATTTTTCTTATCCTGACATTTGATGATATTGATCTGTTTTACTCATTTCCGTCAATAAAACGAGATGAAAGTTCACAAGAAACAATTCCTTACAATACTTAGTGTGGAAGAAAACTAAGAATAAGTCCCTACAATAATGCTAATGGATGACATTGCCAGTGTGTCTTGCTAGTCATCGTAGTTTATAACACAGAAGAAACCACGGCTGCCATGTCTGTGCAACAGAAATTCACATGCAAAAGATACCACGTCTCACAGCAAAATGAAAAAAAAAAAATGCATGTATGCTTCTTTATTAATTGAAAGAACTGAATTTTATAGTTCCTGAATATGTTCTAGCTGGCCGATGAGGCCTAAAATACATGCATATTGAATGGTTGGCTCAGATGAAAGTGGGTTGGTAGTGCAGACAAGAATCAAAGCTTTTAACTCACAGCTTCACTATACTTGAAAACACAATCATAAAGCCGACCTCCAAGGAACTGAGCAACCTCTGGATGTTTCACCTGTTTAAAAAGAAACAAAAAAATTGGACAGATGACCAATGCATATTAACATCCTCAAGAAATAAATAAATAACTTTCAAATAATTACCATCCCAATCTTGAGAGAGTCGCATTTAAACTGAGCATAAAGATTTGTCTCAATCCCACGACCCTGCAAAAAGCAGCAAACGTTACCACCATATATCGGAGATTTATGCATTTCTTTGAAGTATTGGATTCACTTGTACCAATGGATTAGAATATGCTAGTGCAGCTGTCTTAATGGGGGCTTTCTTTGCTTTTCGTTGTTCTTTGTCAGTCAACATATTCAACAACACTAGAAACACACCCCACTTTTATCATTCCTGGACTAGAAATAATTATCAAATTCCATCATTATCCATTTTTAGGACACAAGTCGCTCAAGTCCCTCTCTCTCTTTGATGTAAAACAATTATCCCAGTAGTTTAAGGATCAGATTGACAAGGCCAAGCCTAAAAAAAATCCACAAAGAAACCTGAAACATTTGATATAAAACCTGAAGTTATTATTCTCTTGTTTTAATTATTTTCCTAGTTAATTTTGGATTTTAATTTTTTGTTTCCTACCTAGCTTAGAAATTTTAATTTAATTATTGTTTTACTATTTAAGAATCTTAATACTAGATGAATTCTATTAATTAGATAAGTTTTAATTAGGACTCCTTTTCTATAAAGGATTTTAGTACATAAGGATGTCTAGTTTATTTTATGGAGATCAAGATTAATATTCAGATTTAATAAAAATACTAACCTTAGGGCTTGAGAACCCTAGTTTTCTCTTCGCTATACTGTACAATTGATGAAAGCTGGTTATGCATAAGTACAAGGTCACTATACATAATCATTCATCTACATCCAGAGTTGGCCACTTGACATTGATTCTTTACACACTACTATTATTTTAGAAAGAACTTACCATTCCTTCCAATATTACTAGGCCTGCATCACTTGCTAGATAGGCTAGCACTTGGGATACTCTTGTTAGATCAATAACCTGCAAGTAATGGAAAAGTTAAAGGGCCATAACTATGCAGCCAAAGGTGCTCTTCAGGAAGGAAAAAAAAAAGACATTTGTTCAACGTGAAATACAAGTAAACAATATATCACTTCAATTCTTTACCGGCAAATCATTTCCGGAATTGGCTACCAGAAGATTTGACGTATCAACACCCATGAGCTGTCCATTTTCATCTTTCAACTGGAAAATTGGATCTTAAGTCAGATAAAACCAAGAATTCAACACATCATACCTCTACAAGTTCTTTCTATCACCTTTGCTATAATCTCTATCAGTTCAGTGTAAGTGACGTCATTGATAGAAGGCATGTCATTGGCAGCCAACACAACCTGCAGATAGAGAGAACCCAGATATGCTCAGAAAGAAAGCAATTAAATAGTACCCATTATAGCAATCTTGTATTATACTTTAAAATTAATAAATTATTTCCAGCACCCATCATAATATTTTAGAAAAATTAATTTAACAAAGAAAGCCTCAAATTTGAAGACTTCAATATAAAATATGAAAAGAAAACGAGGGTTCAAAACCACTGGATCAGTTTCAAAATCAAAATACTATTAGTCGGTGATTCTATTGAATACCAGCGAATTATTGATAAACTAGTTATCATGTTAAATTGACACCATCAATCGATTCTTTAAAATTTGGAACTGAATAACCTGACTTCACAAATACAAAACAAACTTCGGGCTTTTGATATAAAAAATAAATGTGGTGCAGATGGAAACTTGAATGTAAAAGCAAACCTGAGATCCACATCTCAGTAGCTCTCTTGCAAAGGGCAAAATACCCAAAATTATATCTGCACCAGAATTATCAACAAAAATGACAACCTGTCATGAGCAAAGAGGAAGCCGGTAAGATTTTTATTCCAGCACAAATGGAATCATCAATATTTTGTATAGATGTAATTAGAGGATGTGACTAGTCTAAGAAATCAGTCTTGTAACCTACCTTTTTCCATGTTTTCTTGCTCCATTTCACTTTAAAGGTGTCCAAGTCATCAATGACCCAGGGTCGAGGGACAAGATTTTGACTACTAGCCAAAAAGGACATTCCATCCCTTGAGAAAACCTCAGCGAGCTACATGAAATAGAAGAAAAAAAAGGATAAACACCATCAAGAATTATTCAAACTGCAAAACCAAAACAGCACCTATATCCCTGAGAGAAGAGATAAAAGTTAAGCAGTACCTAAACTGTCACAGAAACAAAACTACTGCTTTTGCTAGAAGCTAGAGAGAATGATAACTAGGAGAAATACTCATAAAGCAATGGCATCAAACAAGCACAGATTAAATAAACTAATGCAAGATGGCTGAGCAATGAGCAGAGAACATTAATGCACCAGTAACTCAAAAGGGATCACGTAGATGACAAATGCTAACGGTAAGTTTGGGGATTGAAGGGAGAAGATGCAGGATCCCAAAAATGGAAGAAAAGTGGGAGATTAAATAAGTCGATGCAGGAACCCAAAAATGGAAGAAAAGTGGGAGATTAAAGAAGTCCTAGAATCCATGCAATTTAGATTCATTTATAACTGCCATTATAATGAGTGCACAACTTGTTGAAAAACAAAAATAGGCTCACAAAAATCATAAAAGTGAAAATGTTTAACCAACCTCTGCGGAACCAAGGTCAAAGATGTTCCCAGCAAATATTCCTCTGACAAGATTTTCTAGGCGCTTGGGCTCATCTACAATAGCATCATTAAGCTGAACTACGTTCTTAAATAAAGATATAGCCTTTGCATTCTCTTCATCCTGTCACATCAACAAAAACAGTGTCTTTTTCAAGTGTACAAGCAAAAGGTTGCAATTTGCAAGAAAAAACAATCAGCCGCCCCAACACACTCAGAAACATGAAAGGAAAAAAAACCCTTAAGCCAGCTGCTATCGAGGGAAGGAGATACGTTAGAATTCAGGTGTTTTGGAAGTAAAACGACAGGATTGTGGAGTAGCAAAAAAGAAATGAAGGGAAGTGACCGACCTTGACTTTCTTGAATATGTCTATGAATCCCAACTCTCGAAGGATTAGCTCCCGCAGTCTGCAGAGAAGCTACCAGGCAGAAAGAGAAAACAATTACTATGATAATTCTAAAATTAAAAAAAGAAAAAGAAAAGGGAAATGTATAGAAGAAGAGGAAGTTTAGGGGAATCACAATGCCATCAGGAGGGCCGCCATGGCTTTCTGGATCTTTCTTGAAGTCCTCCAGTATATCACCATACCTTATTATTTATTTATTTTAAAGCTCACATTAGCAAACAAAAAGAAATGAGAAGAAGAAGTAGAAGAAAGAGTGCAAAAGGAGGGAAAAGGGTACCTCTGAGCAAATTTCTCAGCTCTAAGAGGAGCATCAGGAACAGTGGAATCAGTTTCAGCACGTTTCCTGCACTCCAATTATAAAGAAGAAAGAGATTTGAGCCGGAATATAAATATTATACTAATTAAGAGAAAGGGAGTGGATAGAAAAGAATTACTTGAAGGAGGCAATGGAGTTGAGAAAGAGGTTAATCCACTGGAGCTCTGTTGGGGTTGCTTTCTTAGGGTTGTCCGATGGGAAGCGGTAAGGAATGGTGCATGCTCTGTAATTTGTTTCAATCGGCGTCAATAGCAACGGAAAAGCAACCATCTCCGTTTCGCTCTCCATCGCTTTCAGAGCTCTCCTCTCTCTGTAATCCTTTTTTCTCCTCTTCTCCTCTCCCTATTTTTCGGATTTTCAAAACATACTATCACATGTTAAAAGTTTCGAATGAATAACATAGTTTTTTTTTTTTTTTGAAGTAGTGAAATAGTACATTTGTTATATTTATAAATCATGAAATTTACTAAATATTAACATTATTAAACATGGCAAGCTAATTTTAAAAAAAGAAACAGTGAAATAATATATTTTTTATATTTATAAATCATAATATTTACTAAATATTATTAAACAAAGTAAGATGCTTGTTGTGTTTCTAAAACACGACAACTTAACATTTAGTTTTATTATTAATTTTTTAATATATATAATTATATAATTAGTTAGTTGATCTAGTTATATGAATTAGCCAAACATTTAATATAAAAATTATAATTTTAATTTTTTTTAAATATATTTTATAAGTTAAAATATATATATTTATTTAACTTATATATTCAAAAATAAATTATTATTAAAATTTTAAAAAATTATTATTCACATAATAATTATTTTTTATGTTTTAGGGTTGATGATATTATCATGTACATAATAACAAGTGGTTTTAAGTAATTAAATATGAATTTTTCATAATTAGATGAAATTATATCCCAAACAAGTTATGTGAATAGTCTAGCTAGTAAATATATTTATAAATAAATAAGATAGTTGTAGATTCAAAATGAGGGTTTCAGTCATGCAAGATTAGAAATATAACTCAAAATAACTATAATTTTTTATCTCATGGTTAAATATTACTTAAATTTTTATATGAGATTTCTAGAGATTATTTTCTTTAAAATAGTTATGAAATCATTATTTTAATTGTTGAATATTTAGATTTTAAATTTTT